GAACAGTTTATAAAGTCTGTAAACAAGTCATTCAACGGAAAACAAGGTTTCATAAAAAACATGAGGTCCTCTGAATGAGATTAACTCAATCCCTTACCTACAGTTGAGTCGAAAAAAGTGTTAGAATCTTTATTAACTCGGGTCTACACTCTCCTCCAAATCTTCACTGTGACTTGGTTAATTTCCTCATTCACAAGTACATAACACGTGTATTAAATAATGAGAGATTTTTAGAGATGAACCCAACAAAAATTAGTTTTACCTTAGGCACGCAATCTCGCTCACTGGAGTCGCCACACACCACCACCCGTGTGCCAAATATAATCGTGTGTAACCACCGAAAAGACGCGTTGTTGCACGCCTCCACATGATGTTGCCAGAACGTATACATATTGTCGCTAGAAACTACCACGCGCCACCATTGGAAACCATCACGTGCCGTTGTCGGACCACCATGTGCCACTACAAACCGATCAAAACACAGAATGCACTGCACACTAAGATTTGATGTAGATAAAGTGAAATCGCACCGAAAAACAATGCAGACGTGCAAAATTGCACTTTGGCCATCGTGCTCCGATCTCATTCTCAGTGTTACTCCCCCGCGTGCAGCTCCTCTTCCTCTCTCCCTATTATTGCTTCGCCCCTGATCGGGAATGATCTGGGCGTGCCATCGTCGCTACCATCTTCTCCTTTTTCTTATTCTTCTTTCCTTCCCTCTCTCTTTCTCTCTCTTTACCCAATCCATCATTCTTTCTCGCCTCTCTCTTTTTCTTATAAATAAAAACAAGAAGACTCCTCCACGCCTCGCCTCCTCCTTCTCCGGCAAGTTTCAGAGGCGTGTACGCTTCATCATCTTCTTCTTGCAGAGGCTTGTTCGCCTCTGCAAGTCCCCCATTTTTTTTTTCTTTCTTGTCATCAAAACGACATTGTTTTAATGCTCTCAAAACGATGTTGTGTTCACCTCGTTCTCTTTTTCTTTTCTTCAAACCAAAACGACGTCATTTTGATATTTTCTGCTTCTATGAAACAGATTGGTTGGGTTTTAATTTTTTTTGGGTCAGGTTGTTACAATAGTTGCTCATTCATTTGTGATAAATGATGTCAATTTATAAAGTTAAAATTTGATTAGAGAATGATTACGTGATAGAGAGGACAACACTTTTTGATTTAGTGGCCCAATAACCTACACATATAAACAAATTTTAATCTTTAATTATATGTTAGAGTGCATTTTGATACATATATCACTTCTTATTTAAAGAGAAAATAAAAATGAAGAGAATGCTAAAAATAAAATACCATTATGAAGACAAAAGTTCTTACTTGTTTTCTTTTACCTGGTATATATTTATAGGAATGATTTGATTTATATTTTATAATTAAGTGAAAACTATAATTATTACTATGTAACTATCAAAATAATGATGGAATAATGGATAAATATGACATAATAATGTCGTATTTTTTTATTGGGGGGGGGGGGGGGGGAGGAGGGGGAGGGAAGGGGCTCTAGATCGTACCATAGCAATTATAAACTACAAAAAAAAAAAATGGAAAAGTACTAGTAAAAATATATATATATATATTCTTAAAACCATACTTTAGAAAGTAATGATATAATAATTTTGAATGGTAACCAAAAAAAAAAAACTTTACCTGCAGAGATGCCTCCCTGGTTAAGCAACTTTATTTATTTATTTCTTTAGGAAATTTAAGTGGTCCAAAAAATTAGTAATTGATTAATTTAGGGGAATATAAACAAACAATCATTGGGGTCACGTAATTTATGAACCTGTGTTATAATGACTCCGGTTTGGACTAAGACATTCAATGATATATATATATAGATGTTAGGAGCTTTGTTCCATTCCATTGGTATTGTTATTTATACGTATATGCACTTGAAGTGTGAGTAGGTACAAGTTCCGTATAAATCATTTTAATCTTATTATAAACATTATTGTTGATAAAATATTACCTTATAAATTAATCATTTAGTCATTTTAAAATAAAATAAATTTGATGTATAATTATTTTAAATTTAGAAATTTAATTGTTGGTGAAAATTATCAAATTAAATGGAAATTCAAAATTTTAAAATAAGAAAAATGGAGTAGTGGTCAAAATAAAAAAAATAAAAAAAGTAAAGAGAGCAGGGCCTTGTTTGTTCCCCCCACTTTCATCGTCCTATAAAAAACCGACCACCCAATAAATCATTCCCAGTCTCGCCATCTAACACCTGCCCCAAATCAAAACCTGCATCCCGTCTCCCTCCGCCGTGCTTCTCTCTCCCTCCATTCTATATATATATATATATATATATCTTTGGGACACGAATATTGATGAATGTATACGTACAGTGACGTATAACTTGACGCGCTTTCAGTATCATTTCTTCTCTCTACATGCGCCTGCCAGAACTATGGGCAATCTCTGCACTTGCTTTGCGCCCAAGACAGTGAAGAAGAGAAGACCCGCGAAGCGATTGCATAATCCACATCCTGGGCCCAGTTCAGGAAGCAACCGGTGGAATCGGATTCGATCCTCGCGTAAGGACAAGCTTAATGATTCTTTGGTTCAAGAACAAGCTTTAGCCGCCGCGATCCTCTTCAGCCAGCGCCAGCAGCAAAATGGAGGTAGTTCGCTTCCCTTTGATCGCTCTGCTTCTCTTCGTTACCCGAATTCTGGGTCAAAGAAGACCCAGTTGCCCCGGAGTTCTAGTTCGAGGGCCAGGTCGCTCACTGACCCTCTCTTGCAGCCTCACCAGCTTGTAAATCAGGTTCGTTTCAGTTTACTTGTTTTAATTTTTGGTTAGCCTTCGGTTATCTTGATGTTGACTGTTTTGCGTGATCTTTAAAATAATTGTTTCGTGGTTATGGGGTTAAACCTTTTTGAGTGGGCTCGTATTTGTAAACTGGCTGCCGTTCTTTACCCACGTATGGAGTTACGGTGTAATATGTTTGTGAAAGTTATTGATGAAATGGGGTTAATGAGTGAGTTTTTATGCATCATCTTCGGTTTGTTAATGGTCAGAATGGATTGGCAGAGTCGTGTGAATCTTTAGTAGAATGAAAATCATGGATTCATTTAGTGTTTTGTTGATCTTCAATTTTGGTTTTTTTTTTTTTTTTGTTGCTTTTGGGTTGTTGTGCTGCTATTGTTGATATGCTTGTTGGTTTACCAGGTCAAATCGTAGTTGAGGGGTCCAGATTTGGTTTTTCTGAAAAATGATTATCTTTCAAATGATTACAATACACAAGGAATGCAAAATCCAGACTTGAACTAACACTCTCATAAAGAGAAATGGAAGTAGAAACCATCCAGCCAGGAACTGTTGGTTCTAGTTAACTAATTAAGTTGTAGCAGCAAACCACTACAAAAT